GTGAAAGGTGTTTGCAGAGTGTGTGTGTAACAACATCAGTAGTTCATCTAATCAGTTTGACAGGATTAGGATGAGCCCAAGTCTGCCAGCTGTTTCCAGAAGTTCCCTGAAGGTGTGTAACTGCAAACAGCAGCAGGATCTGTGTGTAAGCGTGTGTGTGCAGCTCAGTCTCCTAACAACTGTAATAGGATCGGCTGGTGTGTCTGTAACAGTGTACCCACAACATTGTCATATGTCAGTGGAAATTTGTGACTGTATCAATCAATCTTTATTTATAAAGCACTTTTCATACAAAGATGTAGCACAAAGTGCTTTACATGGTTAGCTGTGAGCAACACTGTAAAGACATTCAGTTAAATGAGACTTTGATTCAGTGATTCTGAGGAGATTCAGCATTCATCTCACAGGCTGCTTTATGTCCTCCTACATGCATGAGAGGAAGTGCCCTAACAATCATCATCGTGCTCGTTAACCACAGGCTGCATTCACACAAAGGACATTTTAGCCCGGAGGAGGCGGGGCTTCTGATTGGTAGATGAACCACTGCCTGACCATGGATGGAGGTCCTGCAGTATAATTAATGTGTGTGTGTGTGTGTGTCAGTCTCTGAACCAGGTCGTCCTGTGGGATAAGATCGTTCTTCGAGGTGAGAACACCAAGCTGAACCTCAGAGACATGAAGTCCAAGTACTTCTTCTTCGACGATGGAAACGGACTGAGGTGAGATACCAGATGTTCTGGACTACTAAAATCAATAACATCCACCAGCAACTCAGTTCAAATGTGTCTACGTCCTCCCCAGAACCTTTTCTCGATTTTGAGCTGTTTCCCACTCTTCATCTCCCTGATTTATCTGATATTTCTGAGTTTATATGCAGATCAAAGCCTGCCACGTGTCATCTTGACCCCATGCCCACAGGGCTTGTGAAATCCTGCCTCTCTTCCTTACTCCCACTCATCTCTGCTATATTTACTCTTCACTCACCACCGGTATCGTTCCCTCCTTATTGCTTCAGTAACTCCTATACTGAAAAGACCTTCTTTAGATCCTAACAACTCTAACAACCTCCGTCCGTTTTCTAATCTGCCCTTCGTCTCTAAAATACTTGAAAAAGTGGTTTCAGCTCAACTTCATTCACACCTGGTTAATAATAACATCTACGAGAGATTTCAGTCTGGTTTTCGTTCATGTCACAGCACAGAAACTGCTTTACTTACAGTCACTAACGATCTTCTAATCGGAGCTGACTCTGGCCTTCTCACCATTCTCGTCCTTTTGGATCTCAGCTCAGCCTTCAGTGATGTGTCGGTCGCGAACGAAATGGCTCTTAGAGCCGGGTCTTTGACGTGAACGACACGAGCCGGCTCCTTATCGCGAGCCGTGGGTTGTTTTCTTTCTCTCTCTCTCACTTTTTTCTGCTTCACTCCACGCGAGCCTTGTGCTTTACGCTGGGCAGAGGGGTGTTTATGCGCTTCACATAAACACTGGCAG